TTATTAAAATTAAAATTCAACACTAAATATAGATAGAACATACCATTATGTAAGTAAAAAGATTATAAAATAAAAATTTATGATATAAAATCAATAGCCGCAATATTAATAATACAGGAGATATTATAGTAATATTACCATCACTATTAACTCTTGATGTCAATATAAACATGTATAAACAAATAGTGCTATAAATTTCATACTATCTGTTGTATATATAGACACTAAAGAACCAATGAAACGCGCCGTTCCCACTGCGGAAATACCCTGCATCGGCAATAGATACGGTTCAACAACCCTTTAGAATATAGGGTTATATCGAACAGCAGACTCAATATACAGAGTTCAAAGGCAATCTTTAACAATAACAACATATCTGATTTGATTTAACGGTCTCGGTTATATAGAGCATACCGAGTTTCTTTCCATATTAACAGTTTCGATTCTCGCGCAATATACAATTTCTGAATATGTTATTTAATAGTCATAGCACAAGCACTTCTTTGTTTGGAACTAGATGGCACTATGTGAATTTTCCTGAGTTTTTCTATTATTTCTCATCTTATCTCTCTCAAAGCAAACAAAGTTGTACCAGGAAATATGATAGACACAAAAAAGATTCGTGTAGGTATTCATCTGTTAGATTTATATATACTTTATTCATCGTTGATAAGCTCGCATGAATTAGGAATGGCAATAACCGAAACCTTTTTGTATACGAAAAAGTTGTTCATTTAAACGACCCAGTATGTTTATAAATGGTCAGCGTCAAATGGTAAATAGACGAGAATTTTAAAATGCCGATATTTACGCCGCTTACAAAATGGTAGTGCCTATCTACACGCAGTAATACAATCAGGGATGCCAATTGTACTAAAACCCTCCTTTAAATAAAATAATTTTGGCCTTTAGTAGTAGCATTTTCATCATCAAAAAAGTTTGTACGAGATTTTAACTTAAGAAAATCCGCCAAAATACGATGTACAAGGTACGATACAAATTGAGATTTTAACAAATGTTTATTTTTATCATAGGCTGTGTTTTTATGTTGGCAACCCTGTATACAGCATTATATAAGAGATTCGTTTTATCTAATTTACTTAGATACCTAATGTAGGTATCTTGTCTTTTGTTCACCACAATAGTTTACTGTTAGCACAGATAACTGCTAGAGACAGCTCAGCTGCTTAGTTGTGTATCTATTCCAACAAGTTTACGTAATGCCCGGACAAAGAAATACAGATATAGACTTAACTTTATTCTAAGCTAACTAACCCACGCAACTTTGTCTGCATCACATAAGAGAGAAAACACTCTCAAATGGAATAAATTTTACACAATTTTACAATATTTTTCATTAATTCTCCTCTTCTAAGTGTCGTAGTGTAAAGTTATATGGTCATAACTATCCAACACTTTTTTTTTTATTTGAACTAGTGTTCCTATTATTAGCGCTTTCAAGCCGACTTACTCTCCAGCTTTTTAATAATAATACTAAACGTTTGTTGTAGATCTATTTAGTATATATATTTATTTATCTCAATACTCTATTTTTATGAAAATCTATTCCTTTTGCGAGCTTCCTTTCGTACGCGATTCAGCTAAACTGACATATTTGCGTCTAATATGAAAACTCTACAATTTCATCCCAGTGGCTCTCATTACATTGCTGACCTAAAAACCCAGCAGCGCGCACATCACCTGTTATTTTACCTTTTTTATTTATTAGCTTTGCTTTCTGACAACACTAATATTTCCACAGACATTTTTGTTATCTGTCGGATATAAAAGCATAAAAACAAAACTTAAGCTAGAGTTGATGCAATTTTCACAAATAAAACACAGTAGGTAAATATAGCATTCAATATCTATAGTCTATTTCTGAAATCTTCACAATGAAATTGTTAAGACTTTTGTGTTAATTGAAACATTTAGGATTTATCTTTAATATATAAAATATTATGAATTCATATTAATTATAAGACTAAGTACTGAAAAAAACAACCGCCATATTTTTACTCGACTCTGACGTCAAAAGATGGACGTCAGAAGATCTCTATTTGGATGTCTGTTGGAAATATTTTTGGATCTTATCTCTATTCTCTGTGAAATATATCTAGTATAGAGATTACAGGATAGTGACTTTAAGATAAACTTTTAGAAGCCACAGTTGAAGTATGGATAAAATAAAAAAAGTTCTAGACACCATCTTGTACGAATGGTCTGTAAAGAATTATAACTTGAAGATTATTAAGGATTGTAAGGATTCTTGTAGACGCGCAAACACAACTATTCTATGAAGGCAAAGTTATAAAACAGGCCGGCATTCCAAGTGGGCGGAGTTCCTTTCAATTGTTACCATTTGCCATCGCAAAACTTTGACGGCTGTCGCTGAAAGTGAAATGAGTATAACTGAACCCGAGTAAAGCAATTCATATCTTCATCTATATAGTAGGTACATAAGCGGACATCTATAAAATACGTCACAAGTATGGGGGGAGATAGTGGATTATCATTCTATGACAGAGATTCCTAAATCCGTGATATAAAATTTTAAAACACGATATTTTATTGATATTTGAATTGCAATATATTTGAAGTTACATTAGAGAGTTTCAGAAATATGATCAGCAGTGACATAGACGATGGGAGGCGAAAAAAAAATTAGTATATATAATGTATTTTGTGGATGACCCCTAATTAGAAAGCCATACCATTACCATCTTTTTGTAGTATCTTGCACTATATATGGTGAATATAAATTATTTAAATAGTTTCACCACAGATAAAATTTAATAATTAAAAAATATTAACACCGCAAGTATGGAAGTAAGAAGCCGTTAAATGTTCTCTATAGATAATTCTATGATACTTCGACGATAAAGAGATGGATTATACCTTTTCAATTCAAGTGGCATGTATAATGATATTCACTTGAGCCTTCTCTTATGTATATCCTAATGGTCTCTTGTACCGATTTTTGCAACATACATATTTTCACGACTGTAAACCAAAGTGGAGTTACAAATAAAATATAGTCGACTTAATGATGAACGCTGTTATAATATTTTAATACTACGTAACAGAAGACACTACTTACAGCTATCTCTCGTCATAATTAGTTTTTTTTTATGAATAGAATAGAATAGAATAGAAAATCATTTATTCAAATAAACTTACATTGAAGCACTTTTGAATAGTCATTACATTTTTTAATCTACCGCTCGTTCGGAAAGCTGTCTCATCACAAGAAGAACGAGAAAGAAACTTGCGTGTTGCTCTTTTAAATAATTTATTATTACTTTACATTTTTAAGTTTAAGTGTGTGAATACAAACCACCAATTAGCACTAATTCTATTAAATACTCAAATAGAAATAATATTGAATATATAACCAACTGGTTAAACAATGAATAAGAGGAAATCAGTCATAGTGATTAGAGTAGACCAGTCCCTACAAGCAGCACCCGTTCACGAGTATGACGGATGAGCCAGCCATCACTGTGCTCGACCATATTTTAGGGAGCCCAATGACCCGGCCCACCACGCCGCCACAAGTCTGGACATTTTAGTGAGCATGACTACTCAAAACACTAGACTACGTCAAAGCTACTTACAATTGCTATCTGATAGTTATAGTATTCACATTTTACATAAGAATGCATGCGGCAATCAATACAAAAACCGCTACGCTTTCATATTTCTAAAATCAATCAATTAAATCAAGAAAGCAATGAGAAAATTAAATTATAACGTTGTATGCTAATAAACTAGTTATTTACTTAATATGTTGTCGTCTATGAATTCGTCTATCCTGTAATAGGCTTTCTTACACAAAAATTGTTTAATATAAGATTTGAATTGCCTCTCTGTCAGATTTAGTGCAGATTCTGGCAGTTTATTATAAAATCTTACGCAATTACCATAGAATGAATTACTGACTTTGTGCAGGCGGCATTTAGGTAAAATTAGCTCATTTTTATTGCGTAAGTTTCTATTTGTACAGTCTTTAAGTTTTCTAAAACTCTCTAAATTCTTCCGTGTATACATGATATTCTCATAAATGTATTGTGAAGTAACGGTGAGGATATTTGAATCTTTAAAACACTGACGTAATGACTCTCTTGAACCCATACCATAAATAGAACGTATGGCTCTCTTTTGTAAAATAAATATAGTATTTATATCGGCTGCTTTACCCCACAGTAGTATACCATATGACATAATGCTATGGAAATAACTAAAGTATACAAGTTTAGCCGTCGCCACGTCTGTTAATTGCCTAATTCTTCTAATTGCATATGCAGCTGAACTGAGTCTATTGGCCAATTTTGAAATATGGGGCCCCCATTGTAATTTCGAGTCCACTGTTATACCTAAAAAAACTGTATCATTAACAAAATTTACTATTTCATCATTAAGCAATAACTGTGTATTTATTGGTCTTACATTAGGAAGTGTAAATTTTATACACTTTGTTTTGCTGGAATTTAATAATAGGTTATTACATGTAAACCAATTTAATATAGCAGACATAGCACAATTTACATCGTCTAATTGATTAGTTATATATGATAACGAAATGCTGCCCCTGCCTGTGCTAACGGTTTACGGTGGGATCAATGGAGGATGATAAGATGAGCATGAGGTCAGGTCAGTTAGCCCATCGTGACAAATTCACCAAGAATTATTACGATAGTTTCCAGGGGCAACCGCATGGAGGTCAACCTGATATTGGAAGCAATAAGATCGTCAATCCACATTACTAACGATCCCTTTTCCCCCTCATAATTTGGTTTGTTATCGGTGTTTCCATCACTGATAACTTACTAGACTAGATACGACCTTTAAGCTCTAAAAGTCAGATCAGTAAACCACTAGGCCAATATGCTGGTCGGTATTATCAAGTAGCTTGTAGTCTAGGATGAAGAGGTTATTAAAGTTGGCCCTGACACTTACAATGGCCTTTTAAAAAGTTATTTATATTTTTTTTCTTGCAGGGGAGCGCGTTCAGGCGCGAATGGTGCGCAGAAATGGGGGGGCCGCGGCGCATGTCGAGTGCGCTGCTGTTGCCCTTCGCACTGCTGTCCCTGCCGCGGGCAGACACCACCAATGCCACCATTTATCGGGTACCATCCTGTGTAATATAATTAGATGTAAAATTTAATGTCTTGTTTCGTAAAAGATGGCATTAAATAATAAGTAGAGAAACAACAACAAACAAGAGAGTGCATAAGATGTATAAGTTTCCGTATTAGTATTAGTTAGTTTCTATCTCTTATCTTTTCAGAACTAAACCATTAACGGTGTAGCGAAGAAAATATTGACTCAGTATTTGTAGACATCTAAGTCTTTGCGAATTATGTAACAATTTTTATTGCAAATGCATGAACATTGTACAACAGTCTTTAATAGTGGAAAACTGTCCTAAAATATCCAAAATCTTTGAACTACATCTTATAGACTCATTTTATATAATAGTTTTGTATTATTTTTGGTTAGAATATTTCAATTTTGGCTAGAATATTCAAAATTGTTAAAGTGTTCACTGTACGACCTAGTTAAAACATGACCTAAAAGCTTTGACTGTACGATATCGACTCGTATATTAAGTAATATACACTTTGTTCCTCTCAAATTAAAATGATAACATTGTTTTAATATTAACTCTTGTTCCTTATTATTCATTTACATCTTTATTTATATCTCTAGTTATAAACTGCAACAATATTAAACCCTTAAGCAGTTTGGAGTCTAAAATGTGGTTGACCATCTGTGCCCGGCTTGCGGATTATAATCCCATAAACCGAAGCCTTACTAATCTCAAGTGTCACACTTATTTAAGCTTGCTTTGACTATCAACGCAATATACATAGTCTATAGTTATGATAAGTACAAACTGAGCCCCAACTTCGTACCCATGCGCCGTGTTATTTGGAATAACTATACTTTATAACTATTTGTAAACCAATTGAAATAAAATACACACAAAATTTTATTTGAATCTTGTCCAAATTCATTAGTGAAAACAGCGCCCAAAATTGTACTTCCTTTACTGAAATTAGCGCGCACAATCTCATAGATAAACAAACAAAAATTATAACATTTTTTGTCTTGTCGTAACGAACCTCTAATTATAATTTATCTTATATAATTAGGTATTTCCCATGTCCAGACAGCAATGAGTAACATTTTTATAAAGTGACCGGCAGAAAAATATCTACTGCGTCAATTTTTTATTTCTGCAATGTTTAAGATTAAAATATTTAACATAAAGGGGTATGAAGCCGTAAATATTCCAGTTGTTTATGAAAATGAAATCATCATCATTGCCTTGCCATTATCCCATTATTTGGGGTCGGCGCAGTATGTCATTCTCTTCCACTGCTCTCTATCATTCGTCATATCTGAGCATACTCTTCTTTTATGTATATCATCTTTCACACAATCCATCCATCTTTTCTTAGGAATATCTTGGTTCTCCAGTAGGTAAGCAGGTAGATACACTGAAAGTTGCTTGTAATAGCAGACGCCTCGTATCCCGTAATTTATAGAAGCAGTTTTGAATAAAATTTCCAACAACATGACATTGTTGTTGAAACCCCAATAAGATTTACTTAGGAATTCTACTTCATTTGGTATTGTTTAATTGAAAATACATATAGTCTGCAATACTTATTTTAAAATATTCGCGATTAGTACACATTATTAATACAGTTAAATATCTCGACATACAGTACTCACCGTGAATGCTGTGTAATGCGATTTTTCGTCAGACAATTTAATGACGGTAGATGAACAAACTGTCGGCACCTATCAATATTAACATTTGATGTTACTCCAGTCAGCTCGTGACCACGGCTATTTCAATATAGTCGAAACGTGATGAGAGGTAAATAACTGTATTTACCATAAAATTACTACTCGTACTTGGATATTCGAATTCTCTTAAAGTTTTTAATTTATTGATAAATAATAAATTAGAAACAAGTAACTTTGCTTGTATTTAATTAAGTATTTAAAAGCAAGAAAGTTCTTATATTCACTTCATGATTATAATATATATTCACTCACTGTGGCCCCTACCACAAATTACAGAGAGAACATTTAAAAACTTTCCGTATTCACTATATGTATTACTGCTACAATAAAAGTTTAATTGCTAAGAAGCCATACTAATCTTTTACTAACTTTATCAATAGTGGAATTGTAACTTTGTATTAATGATGACGTTCAATGTGCTGTAAGTATTTTGTGTATAAATTGCAATAATTTCATTATTGGCATTTTGGATAACCAGATTCTGAGATTCCTTTTCCTTACTTTCATAAATAATGTATAAATTAAAATATCGTTAATTATATAGTTCAATAGGTCGTAAAACGAATAATGAGAATAATGACAGTGGTATAGAATAGAATAGAATAGAATAGAAAATCATTTATTCAAATAAACTTACATTGAAGCACTTTTGAATAGTCATTACATTTTTTAATCTACCGCTCGTTCGGAAAGCTGTCTCATCACAAGAAGAACGAGCAAGAAACTTGCGTGTTGCTCTTTTAAATAATTTTATTATTACTTTACATTTTTAAGTTTAAGTGTGTGAATACAAACCACCAATTAGCACTAATTCTATTAAATACTCAAATAGAAATAATATTGAATATATAACCAACTGGTTAAACAATTAATAAGAGGAAATCAGTCATAGTGATTAGAGCAGACCAGTCCCTACAAGCAGCACCCGTGGTAAATGTACCATTCTCACATATGTTTACTTTGTTTGTAGTTTTGGTTTGTGGTTTATAATTTATCATGCTATCGTCGTCGTCGATCTCTTATTATATTAATTTACTGGTAAAGACTATAACAGACTAGCAGAGACCCTCTCTGAAAGACTCACTGCCCCCTCTGAGTTATAGACCATTTTGTCACCTTCATTAGTTTTAAATTTTATAATTGTATGCCCATACAATTATAAATTTTGTAGTAGTTTGGCAGCAATTGTATTAGTTTTTGTTTGTGACAAATAACGATGATTATTATTATTATATAGAGCACAAAATCTCTGTGACCCTGAATTTGTGGAAGATGAATTTATTATTAATATTTTAGGTTCAAGTACCTTTGTAGCTACTTCAGAAACGAAACGAGTGCATAATAAATGGAAGGCATAACAATTGTATACGTAACGCTAAAAATAATATATTATGTCTTAAAACCCGATTTACTATATTAATTACTTAACACGAATATTTACATTATATAGAGAGCAAATCCACGATTATCACAAAGTTAAGCTATACCGATAGACTATATAATTCTCATTTTGGCTACATACATTACAGACCAAATATAATTTAAATGAACTGTCATAACAGGTATCCAACATAACTTAACTCGTGTCATAAACATCTCTACATTGCGGTTGCGGTGAAATTTGGATCGTAATAGCGGCATATATTTCAGATGAGACCACAGGCTCGCCATTACACCGCTTATAAATTTTGCGTCCAGTCATACTGTCTCCTTCCTTAATTAGGGCCTGTTGTTACAAATGGGGCCCCTGTTGACATGGCCGCATTGTACGCATCATTTGATTAACCGCATTCCATTGAATACCCCTCTATAAATCAAATTCTCTCAACAACTGCTCGTTTGTGAATTAAATTCCCATTATTTACCTGTAGCTAGCCTGAAAGATATAACTGAGAAATTATCTCATAAAAAATGGGGACTTTTGTGATGCTAAGGGCTCTTCATTATTCAGTGCGGATGCCTTTCAAAGGACGCGTGCCTAATTGAAAATTTTGTACAGGACAGGACTCTACCAAAAACCGTAAACTAGAAAAATCGTTTACTTTTACAAACATAAAGGTCCTTTAATTACATATCTACCGGATCTGTAAAAAAATCTTGACGTAGCTCATTGATGTGAGATGACACACTTTGAGAATTTTATTAATGCTTTTTGTTCACTTATGCACCAACTCACTTTAACTTCTTCGCGCCCCTATAAAACAAATAATCTGATTGAAATTCGGCAACTTATAGTATCTTCAAATTATGTTATAATTATATATTATATAATTTTACAACGAAGATGACAATAAGGCAAAGAATGCGATAACTTTTCGTCTGTGGCTTTTCGTACGACTGATTAATATGCAGATATCACCTACAGAATATTAAATATAAATCTTATAAATGAGCTTACAAAGATGTCTTCGAAAGTTGGTTACATAATGGCTGCACATATTTGAAAGAACTTCAGTAAACAGACAAACTTTATTTTAGAAAAATAATTAATCTTCTGGTGCGTTATAAACAATCAGTTCAGCATGAAATATTAAGCTTCATCAAATATCATATGATCAACCATCCCGCGGCAACGTCTTAAAAATGTATAATAGATTATTAGAGGGTGAGGATTGTTAGTCATGGGAACTAGTAGTACCATTGCTAGTAATACACCATGTCAGGGTGACCTCCACATTGTACTCTTGGAAACATCGTGGTTAATTTCAGATGAAATGGCCAATATGTGCTAACTTATTTGTTACTCATCCTATCATCCTCCACAGGTGCACCATCAGCATAAACTGCTAGAGCGAGCTGGCACACCATACGGTTATCGTCCATTAAAAAATAGATCTATTAATAATATGAAACTATTTGTAACATCAACAGGAAGAACTAGAATCCTCACTGCGTCTGGTGCATGCCGTCGCAACGGGTGCCACCGGAGCATTGTGCGTCACGCAGCGGTATGGTCGCCTGCTAGCGCCGCTGCACGCTGCTCGTTGGGACTCGGCGAGAGCACGGGCGGATCTGGCTGCAAATCTGCTGCATCAATTAGGACTAGAAACTGCTGGTTAGTAATGAATAAGGTTTTATTTTAGTTTTTAACGCACTTATGTTTTTAATAGTGCGTGTAACGAACCAGTGATCGCTAATGGTATAATATACTTTTTTTGATATATTCATTTTATAACCGAGTTGTTAGTGACTCAGTGGGTAATAGAATGAAAAGGTTAAATTCTCGAAATTCTATTGCGTTATCACAACTGCAATATGCAGATTTTTTATACAACATTGATAGTAATCAAAGAAAGTGTCCATCTGATGGTAATCAGTTACCGTAGCCTACAGAGACGTAAAACACGTAATCATTATATACTCGTATATTAGTAATTTGGACTAACAACCCCATTACCTATTACTAGCAATGTTCGCGGTTCCCCATTGTGATAAATATCTAAATTAGCCATCCGAAGTGGCAGTCTCGTAGCTGATGCTCTATATAGTAGAGAGTTGCGAATACCTAAAATGACTATGATAGTAACAACTACAATTATACAAACATAGATTTGCTTACTGTGTGTATCAAATCAGTTTAATAACTATAGTTAGAATAATAAGAATATTTAAAAATAAGTTGATAAGTAGTGGTAATGTATTAATATTATCTTTCAGAGATCCTCATGGCGGTATCGCAAGGTCTTGTGATGGGGGCTAGTCCAACAGAACGCGCAGTGGGTGCACGCGCATTGGCGCTACGGACTGATGGAGTGGTAAACAGCGCAGTGGCATGGGAGAGATATGGCACAGCAGACCCGGTAGCTGTAGTATCACCACAATTAGAAAAACCACCTGACCCTGACTTTCCATGGTTAGTCTTTTACAATTCTCCAGTATATTTATTACTTCAACTAAGTAAAGTATTTAAACTACTTTATATTTAATTAATCATGGTGTTATTCATTGATTTATCACGATTTTTAAGTTTTAAGAACTAATTTTCCATAGAGATTCCTACTATTCAGAATATGTCAACTTCCTTTACATGTGGATATCATCTAAATTGCAAGCTGTATTCGGGTTTGAAATGTAAGATTTGCCATCGAAATTACAGGTTATGAATGAATTACGAAGTTACAAGTACCTTGTACTTATTTTTAAACTTTTACGTTTAGTACACTTTAATATTGTAGTCAAACGGGTTTTAACAAATAATTTTATGGCAAATAAAGGTACCACGACTGGTACAAGTGCAACGGCTAGTACGTCGGTAGAGTAAATACCTTTATTTATCATAAAATTATTTACGAGTAGTACCTACTCAAGTAAGGCAAAGCATGAATGGTACAACGATCTTGTACAATACGACGATGTTTGCTTTTAATTAGCCTTAGAATTGAAATAAACATACATATTGTGTTTTTTTTTCATTAGGTATGTTTCAGCACATAACAGTGATACACTCCGATCGTCCAAGTTCATGCCGTCTCCACCTGGCGCAACTATGGAGGGTTGGTGGACTTACCCATATTATAGCTGCGAAGCGAAAAGATGGCTGCTATCATATACTGTGCCTGTTGCTACGATTCGCGGGTAATTTCATATTTTTGCTGGTATTCCAAACCGCATTAATATTTGTATAACTGCACATGTCAAATGCAACCCAGGCTACCTACTGAGTTGTTATTAAAATTATTTTAATTCGCTTAGTCTGCTTTGTGCTACAGTGTACATATCTCTCTTATGTATATTAAACATTTTAAATTGATTATTTAAATCTCTTACTAGTTACTTATATTATGTAATATTATACTATCTGTGGTTATATAGAGAGTAGTGTAAAATATTATCTTTTTTTATGTTCCTTATTATTTAATTTTTATCCGTAAATATCTTGCATGTGAAAATTTAAAAAAAGAATCTGTTGTATTTTATCTGTAATTCATGATTATTAAAATCTAACAAGTTACGTCTCATAATAACAAGAACTCATAACAAGTTACGTTTCATTGTTTTTTATTTCCAGTCTTAAAGGTGTCGTTTCACTCGATATAGATATATCTAATTTGGAAATAAATCAATGCGAGGACTCCGAAGACGGCAGCGATAACCAAATATACTCTTTTCATGGAACCCACAAGTGCCCTAATGAAACAACATATGTAAGGACTTACTTAACATCCATTTTGAAACATCTATGAATCTAAGTTTTGTGATCTACATGATAATAAACATATTTAGAATGTTTATGGAAGGCCTACACAGTTTCTATATACCTTTCAAGTAATAGGTATATACAATTTGTTGACTGGTTTTGTAAATTATCCATGAAATCATCTAAGTTTTGTGATCTGCATGATAGTAAACATATTTAGACTGTTCGTGTAAGACATACACGGTTTCAATAGTTAGGTACTTTTTATCATATACAATTTGTTATTGGTTTTGTAACTTTCCTCAACTTTCTGTTATGGCCGGGGTTTTTTATCGACGGTAATGTAATAGTACAGTCCAGTGGAGAAAGATAAGATGAGAATGAGGTCAGGTCAGTTAGTCCGTAGTGACAAATTCATCAATAATTTATGACAATAGTTTCCGGGGGGAACCGCGTGGAGGTCAACCTGACATGGTTCATTACTAACAATTTCCATCCTCCTTTTATATCCGGGATCAATCTACCGATGTAAGTCACGTCTATAGCGTATATAGTATAACCCGGAATAGGAATATAAGAGAATTAAAGAATCAGACTTATTATTTATTTTTCATATACACTGTACATACGAGTAATTAAGATTTTTTTCTGTTACAGTGTGAATATAAGCCAAATAGAGATGTGGGCGTTCGTCACTCAGGGTGGGCGCGTGGGATGTACAACTGCCGGTGTCGACCTGGATATTACTCCACAAATCACCCTGAAGGATTTAATGGATCCGTAGTCGAAGGTAAATCTAATCAGAATCTAAGGAGGTAGGCAATTACGTAATTAGTACTAATTAGCTACCGATTCAGTGTATCCGTTTTTTTAGTAGGTACCTTTCTTTAATTTCTATTCTGCTAATCCACAACCGTCAGAGGCGTATGACATTTGATATGTGACAACGAAGTCTGGGTTGAATATTATTAGCATTCTTCACTGACAGAAAAAATGTAATAATTTTATGGATGGATATAGGTATATTATGTTTTTGTTAATGTCACAACAAGTGTTTAAAAAAATATTTATTTAAATAAATAATAGTAATTTAAACACGCCCCCTAGGATAATTCACAATGCCATTAAGTTCCAAGTTTCTGCTATGGAACCTACTTAAGAAATGATACAAATACTTAAATAATTTTCTTTATATTTACACAGAAAATATCCAGACCGGTACTAACAATCATGCTCCTGTATACAAATAATTGCACCATGCGAGGAATCGAACCCGTGACCATCTAAAGTTAAAGAATATTCTATATGTTCTGTGGTCATTATGTACATAGTAAATAGATCATTATGTACTAGATTGATGGTGTGATTGATACGTTTATAACTCTATATCGTTACGTCAATCATCAGTATAAATGACAGCGAATGAGATACATCACATAACTTCAACAAACTCGATGTAAATTTCAAACTTGAGTTTATCAGTATATATAATATAAACAGTTGAACGATTTTAATAACATTGAACAAAAAAAGAAATAATTTGTAATGAAAAATAGCTTCTCAGAATTTGATATGAATACAAAGATTAATTTAAACGTTCCTATTTTAAAAAGACTTATAAAGAAAATATGTTGTACAATGTAATTTGCAATCACATTCCAAAATGTAAATTAATATTATACATGCAATAATATACTTTCCAGTTGCTTACCAAGAATATGAAGAAAGTCATTTAGAAAATTGGAACGAGCCATATGAATGTTTAAAGTGCCAGCCGGGCTGCGAAACATGTAGGGGTCCTGAGCCTTGTCTTGCCACTTATAATTGGCCATTTCGGTAAGTTTAAATGATTACAATAGTGAAGAACTAATTGTCCAACTTTTTGTATAATGTAAATGCATATGCATATATATAGAACGTTGCCATATTAGCAATTTATCTATAGTATCATAGTTACTGACAACATTTTACACACGAATCTATATAATATTAAAAATCCATCAAAATTACAGCATATGATAATAGTTTGGTAATTAATCTTCTTGTTTTCCCGTCTTGTGTCTATGAATAAAAACTGTACTATTTTTCTGCCACATTCATCTTCTGTGTATTTTATGGGTGAATATGGAATTGTGTACTCCTGTCATAATGGTCGATGCTGGAGGGGAAGATGATGAGAGTGAAATTAGGTCCATTAGTAACAAATTCACCAAGAATTATGCCATTACAGATCCCTTCGGTGTGTTGACATTATGCTAATTTTATATTTAAACTTGGTTGTTTACTTTATGGGGTAAAATTCTTGGACTTTCTCTTTCAGGATATCTTTGCTGGTGATCTCTGTGACCTGTGCAGTGATGACAGTCTGCCTCACTATATATACGCGTCATCACCGCCGTGTGAAGGTGTTCCGTGTTGCAAGCCCTGTTTTCCTTTCTATTACCCTCCTTGGATGCGCAATAATGTATATGGAGGTAAATAAAAATAATTTTAAAGTACATTTAGGTTCTATTTGTCTCTTTAGAATAGGAGTATACAATACTGTTTCCAAAGTTATTAACTGTGAATGATAGATCTCCATATAGAACATATGAGAATACAGAAAGGAATATATCAGTATCTTTTAAAATACAGTAAAGTTATATAAGGTGGACCCTCACTTAGCAGTCTCAGACTTCACATAGCATATGTACCATTATTTTATCTGCATTTTAAATCATCCATTATTAGAGTAAAAACACTAAGTAAGCAAATAAAACAATAATATTAATATGATTATAATATCTTTACATCAGATGGCTGCTATATTTCCAGTATTGGATAGATATTCGTGTATTGCTACAAAATGGACTCGTCACATGGGTTTCTGCATTACATACACTGCATTGCTGATGAAAACTTGGAGGTAATAAAATATATTAGATAGGTTTTTATCCCAAATTATCTCTGTGCATTTCAGCAACTTTCATTTGGTACAAAATATATTTATTGTAATTCTATTGTAATAAATTTTTTCTATGTTACATATAGTATCATGAAAAACAATAATACATTCATTTTTAAGTCTCAGTATCTTCGTGAAGCCAAAATTCAATTTAATGAGTAAGTAGGTAAACAAGTAAAATTGACACATACTATAAATTTTCAGGGTCTCACTGACATACCGTGTGAAATCTGCTCATAAACTTAAATTAACAGACAAACAGCTACTACAATGGATGGCGCCTATTTTACTCATAATGCTGGTATATCTTGGAACTTGGACACTATCTTCACCACCAGATGCTGAAGTTGTATGTATAAATTTGTACAAATTGAATTAAACTATTTTGTCTAATTATCTATACATATAAATAAAATTGTAGTGTCTGTTTTTAATATTGAATTAACTGTTTTTTACATTTGCTACTTTTATTTTAAAAAATAAAGTCCCAGGAATAGCTGGTAATAAATAATAATATAATCAATAATATTTAACTTTTTACTATTTAATTTATATTATATATATATAAATTTGAAGTAGATTAAAATTTTGGTTTGTAATTAGTTTATTGGATTATATATATTTTTTTCAGATAACTGACAATAGAGGACTAAAATTCAAGCAATGTACATATAACTGGTGGGATCACAGTTTAGCAATTGGTAATGAATTAATATGTTTATAATGTATTCATTAATTCCCTTTAATTAATAAAAATAACAAAATAATTAATCGTTTCTTTTCATTTCTTTAAACTAAATGATAGCAGATGATTTTTTAACTATTTTTTTAGGTGAAATTTTGTTCCTGTTATGGGGTGTCCGAGTATGCTATCGTGTACGACACGCTGAGAGTTTATACAACGAAGCAAAACTCATCTCCATTGCTATATATAACATATTCACCGTAAACTCGTTGATGATAGCATTCCAGTAAGTATTAATAGAATATTTCTACCTACTTAAATAAATACAAATCAGATATACTAAATAAATACTAAAATAAAATACAGGTTTATAAAACATTCCAAAAGTGAAACTATGATTACATTTTACACATTATTAAAAGCAATTTTTATTAGTACTGAAATAATCTTATTAACTAACTACTGTGAGTAATAATGAAGCGGGTATCTGTCGTTAATTTGCTGCTTGAACGTTTTAATTCTCTCATCCCCAAATTTATAAACCCCGGCCCCCAATCTCAATAAGGGCTTTCTGTATTTCAAACCGCCACGTCTATTAGATGTCGTCCCTGTAGTATTCTTCAGATAGGAGTTGTAGTAGATTTTTAAGGCCAAATTTTGGGTTTGTAATGTCATATGGATTTAACACGCCTACTACTATCATTGTGAAAAAATCTAGTCTGAAAAAATCTCAGATTATGATTATTAGACAGTATAATATTAGTGAAAAGTAATACAAACTATTTATTATATCTATTTCAGTTTACTAATCCTGCCCCGGGCCGGACCAGATATAAAATATCTACTTGGTTTTATTAGAACACAACTTTCAACTTCCACAACGGTGCTTCTTGTTTTCTTGCCGAAGGTTGGTACATATTGTAATTTGATAATACAGACGGTAATAGTTCCGTAAATTAAGGCATGATTCATCTATGTAACATCTCTTCTATTTGAGTTTGTTCTTAATATAACAACCTAAAATATCATCTAAGATAGGAGATAAACTTTTAATAATTTTAAACTAAGATATCTCCTAAATGTTTGTTGCAATCATATTATTTAAATAACAATTCGTTAAAAATTAAATACTTATAACTGTGACATATAATAACTACAGTAATAATACAAGACTTCTTGCAGGTAGTAAGAGTAGCGCGAGGTACCGGCGACACTTGGGACAGTAGATCGCGGGCGCGAGGCCTACCTGCCGCCTCCTCTCTCAACGGCGTCGGCCTCGTTCCTGACGAGCCGCCCGACCTATATCAAGAGAACGAGGAGCTTAAGGTACATCATAAACTACTCTTACCATAATGCAGTATTTTTTAATTAGATGATAATAGAATGGTGCAGGCACGCAATAATGGTATACACTGGCGGGGCACCAGTGGAGGATGATAGCTAGTTACCTAGCCCATCGCAACAAATTCACAAGGGATTTATCACGATGGTTTCCAATGTGATCCACTTGGAGGTCAACCTTACATTGTACATTGCTAGCAATAGAGTCGACAGTCCTCATTACTAACTGCTGCTGCTGTTTGGCGGCAGAAATGGGCGAGTATCGACACAGATGACTGAAAAAAATCCACCTCTGATAGCTCTGGTGGTTTTGACTGCTGAACTATCTGTTACCAGGAGATAGAGAGAAACTGAAGATACATGTGGGTAGCAATAGCAGCAGCGGTATCATCTAAATTTTGATGATGAATTTTAATGTTAAAAATAAGATATATAAATATTATACTAAGATATATGAATAATAGTAATAATAATTGGTGCTACAGGAAGAAGTACAAAAGCTAGCAGCACAGATAGAGTTCATGAAGATAGTCCAAATGGAGATGCACAATAGGCACTTGCGGCCACGGCCAGGCGGCTACTTCACTGCGAACACCACTAGTGCGGGTGCACCACAGAGTCCTATGCATCCGAAGACTGTTAACATTGCGCAGGTATTGTCATATATCATTTATACTACCGTGATGGGAAACGAGCTGATTATTCACTTAGTTGAAAGCAAAGTTTATTCACTGTTTATACAGACCAATTGTTTTATCTACGAATACACCATATATCATACTATGACACAGTAGACCTCAAGCATTTTTGTTTGCACCTTTGACTTTCCAGACCACTAATATTATGTTTTATACCCAATTCTGGAATCACTAATAGAATATCAGTGGACAATACACACAAAGCAGTCTAGTCCCTATCTAAGCAGAGCTTGTGTTATGGGTACTAAAGTACTGATAGAATACTTAGATACATTTTTTTGTACATACTTAAATCATATTGACGGCCTCGGTGGTCTAGCGGTTAAGCACACCGCTTTACTTCCGATGGTCGCGGGTTCGATTCCTCGCACGGTACAAACATTTGTTCATTCATAAGTCAAACATTCATAAGTATGATTGTATCGGTATGGATGTTTTCTATGTATATTATGTATGTATTTACAAAAAAAAAGTATCTATGTATTTATATCAGTTCTTTAGTATCCATAAAACAAGATCTGCTTACTTGGTACTAGATGACGCTGTGTGAATTTTCCAAGGATATTATTATTATTATTATTATATATGTATATAAAAAACACCCAGATCGGTACAAACAATCATACTCATTAATACACGTTTGTGCCGTGCGAGGAATTGAATCCGCGACCATCGGAAGTAAAACGGTGTGTTAAACCACTAGACCACCGAGGCCGTTAAACACTTGAGGAAAGTGTTTAATTTGTAGTTATTATTTTAGCTTAATATTAGTGCCAATTTATATTATTACAGGAAAATACAGAATGGGCTGGGCCGGTGTGACTGGTGGCGGTTAGCGAAAGTGGTTGGTCGTGGCCGGGGCCCACTGCTGAACGAGTGCGGACTGCCATTGATCCTCGGCCCCCAACGTTTGTCTGACAACCAATATAGCTATCGTTTTGTAGATGCTTCATAAACTTTACTTTATGATATTTGTGTGCTAGTGCTATTCAAGCTTGGAAGACATTTATCAGACCTGATATTTTAATATTTATATTTTAGTATACACAATTGTGGAAATCAAATACGAATAGAGGTAATGGTCAGACTCTGTATGAGTTCATTTTCTACCGCGTATTACCTCTTAAATGTTTAATAAATTTATATTCCAGATAAAACTTTCTGTGAATGTTAGCAAAGCATAAAATGTAGTATAAAATAATATGAGATTATATTTTGTATATGTCAAATAATACTGGTATGTTTACATTTTTGTTATAATAATGTATTAATTTTTCACTCAGATGTTGACTAAAAGCAAATTGATAAAAAATGTAATTACGACTAGCACACAAGGATGTCGAACAAAAATGTAAACAAACACGAATTGTTTTTTTAAAACTAAAATTTATTACTGGTCAATAATTATAAAAATAATAGCTGAAATATTTGCAATGTGTCATTATTTTTTAGTCATTAAAAATACATTTACGTTCAAGTTTACTTTACTGTAGTAATTTATTTTTTATTACGGTATATCGAAGAGTAATGTGTGAATCATTTAGATAGGAATTAGAATTTTAAAATATGTGTGGGGTGGTTGGAGTCTAGAAATTTAATAATAACAGATTTAATTAAGGTGATCGAGGGCGTCGAAATATATACCTTCATTTAAGCTGCATAAATGAAGATACCCACTATATCAAAGCATAACTAAATGGCATAAAGTAGAAAAAATCCGCACTACATATTTAAAATGTCAGAAATATATTAATAGTACATATAATATTATATATATTAATAGTAGGTATATAATAACTTCGTATATTTCCGAAGTATTTATAATACCTCGGAAATATAAATCAGATTGACCCATGTAGAAGTACAAAAAATCACACTTGGACGAGTCATTTTTAGAAATGTGACGTTTTCGATAGGTAATAGAAAATATTTCATTCTGTACACGATAAACTTTCATAACATTTATTTGCAACTATGTGTTCTCACAAGACTTATTTAAATATTTATATCACAGAAACATTTTAGTACTGATGTGTATTGATAGGTAGTATACCGTACACAGGGGTGTAAAATAATGCCTACTATTGCGACGGTTTGAGTATTCCAAGAATGTAGATGTAGTCATGGGCGTACCCAGCTTCTAACCCATAGGAGTCAAGCTTCTGCTCCAAAGCTACTTAGGAAGACAGATTTTTTTTCTGACCCAGGAAGGAGTGCTAATTTTATTTAATCTTATATTTTCGAAATTCGATGCATTATGCAAGTAATAAAATTTTGAGGGACTCTGGCTCCATCTGCGTACGCCCATGTACATAAGTAGTATTCAATTATAAAAAATAAGATGCAAGATGTATGGAATAAATGCCATTATAACATTTACTCGATGAAATTTACTATAGCTACAAATCTAGTCAATCGATTATAATTAATAATCGTTATAGTATGGTATTAGGAATATTGAATGAAGTAGTTATTTTCATTGTATTATAGGTATTTTTAAATGTTGAACACAAGGTGTTCATCATTAGGGCAGACAATAAAAGTTGCAAGTTCTTTCTCTCTTAGATAATTTTACTCAGTAGAATATTTGGGCCATTTGAGTTAAATATAAATTTATAATTATATGATAAAATATATTAATCAGATGGCAAGTCAGCGTGTTTATTATTCCAATTACATAGAAAAGCAGGCTAAAATATGAAAAATATTATGAAGAATATAGGCTCTTTTTTGCTTTAATTTGTATGGACTCCAATTGATAATAAATGACATGCTTAAATTATAATCATTATTCAAAGATCCAAATATTCTGTTGAAAAAAACAATTATGTAGTTGTTTTATTGAAAATAAACTAGACAATTATTTGGATCAGTTTTAATATTATGAATCATGAAAAGAAATAAATAGTGATTATAATTACTCATATTTGAATAGTATTAAGTATATAATTAAAATGTATGTAAATATGAATCGTAAAGCATAAATTCTAAAGTATTGTACATAGATTTATTAGAGATTATTTTATTAAATTTTGTTTACTATCTGTGATAATGGATACAGTATTCATCAATTATTAATGTTGTGCGGTAAATGTGCACACTTATTAAACTAGAAATTTTATACTATTATTTTATTACTAATTGTCATGTGCATGAAAATAGTATATCTTATAGTATTACTAGAGTTCTTCATTTCAAACGTTTCTCCCTTTTCTAGTGTTTAGATTTAAGAGCTAAATATCTTCTAGTTTCTTATTTGATGAATACCAATTAATATTGGAAAGCTTTATCTAATATGGCTAGTGTACTTAACAAAGTATATCATGGGATATCACATTTATGTGAATAACTATGGTATGCTGTTTACTAGCCTATAATCATTAGGATGTTTAATGCTATTAGCTCCTTTAAAACTTCCAAATTGATTTTCTTCCAATTATCCACTTTTTCAGAAACATTTTTCCTATAAAATCTTTTAGTTAATATACGTAGTAGAATTAATTTAAATGTTGTTTGCATATTGAATATCCTAGTTTTGTAGAGCCAAGCTCACTAATAAAAACAACTGTAGTGTAAGTCATAAATGTGATACCAAATAATAGTATTATTGTATAGCAAGTACCATGTCTTTACTTTTAACAAAATGTCCTTTATTTTAGCAAAATTAATAAGTAATAGCCATTGAGTCATCAGTAGATGATTTCAGCATTGTGCCAATTTGTAAATTTTTGAAGTGAATTCTTATGGAATCACCATTTATCAATTTTTGTATATTTTTTTGAATATTTGAAATATATTAATATTGGATGTTGTATTATAGAATTGATGTAATATTGTTATAATCTGATATTCAGTTATAAGTAATAAAGTACTCTGTAAGAAGTTCTGTTTTTACATTAAAATAAAACTGACTGTTCTCAATGTTTTATTTATAAAACAAAATACACTTTATATTAATCAGTTATTGAAATAAGTCAGCATAATATATGACAAAATCTAATTAGAGAGGAAGAGAATTTCAGCAATGGGAACTATTCTTTATGTATGATAATGGAATGTTGCACCCGCCTGCACTAACGGTATACGCTGGCGAGGCACAAGTGGAGTATGAGGTCAGGTCAGTTAGCCCATCATGATAAATTTACCAAAAATTTATCACGATGGTTTCCAGGCGGAACGCCATGGATATCAACCTAATATAGTACATTACTAGAAATAAGGTTATCAGTCCACATTACTAGCAATCCCCTTCCCCCCCAATGGGAACTATTGGTAAATTGATTATTACTGGCTGCTAGCAACATACCATGTCAGTTTGAATTCCAAGCAGATCTGGAGTCCATTGTCGTTAAAAGAAAATTTACCATGACTGGCTATCCAACCTGACTTCATACTCATCAGCCACTGATGTGTCACCAGCATATACTATTCGGGCAGGTTTGAGCAACATTCCTAACCATCCATTAAAAAACACTCAATCAATACATCAGTTGCTTTAATCTAGACATCTTATGATCAATTATCTTTATAAGCATACTTTGTAGTAAATTAAGAAATGAGTTCCCAGAAATGGCCCAAGGTATAATAATAAAATAAGAGAAAGTCAATACATATTGAATTTTGTAATTCCAGTATACAGAAAAATAAGTACAACTGAAACAACATATTCCTAACATGTGAATTTTATACCGATGCAAGTTTAGATACAATCATACCTAAATATGGTATATATGTATAACTATTTATATTATAACATTTGTGTTTTTTAGTAGAAAATTCCAGCTTCTATGCAAATACAATGAAAAGTAATTAAATCATACATATATTTTATGACAAGTTTCAATGACAAATAAAATTAATATAAATATAAATTTTGTTTGATTTATATTTATGTATATTTAACTAAATGCATGATTCTTTCAATTTACTCACATAAATGCTTTTTGAATGAACTAGAAGATGTAAATTGTATAATTAATGTTTACCATTGTATCACCTAAAATAATGTAACCTAACATTAATCAATCTTCAAATAATTGACCACCGGTATCATTCTTTATTATAAATGGTACACTTGCACATAAGAATTGAGTATCATTCTGGATTGATTTCAAGCTATCGCTGCCTTCAATACTCTTATGGAGTAAATCTAATAATTTCATGTCCTTTTTAGCAGTTTCACAAATACTTTCTATGGAAGACAGTTCCTCTTCTTCTGATGTGAGTAAAGCTTCCATTAAAACCCCTCTCTCAACGCGTTTCCGTAAATCTGCCACCTCGCTCTTGAGACTTTCGTAATCTATATCAGATATATCTTCTATATGTGCTTCATCTTCAGGCAAAACTACATTGCTGGGAATTTTGAACACTCTTTCTATTTCGCTATCTATAATATCAAGCGAAGGGCCAGCTCTGTCACAAAACAAGTTAATAAGTTTGTCGCACGAATGAGTTATTGTAGCTTTATCTTTATCATTCAGACCTAATGATTCCTTCAAATAAGATTCCATGTCTCTAACTCCTGTAGTTATTTTTTGTTCCACCATTTGACGAATTGCAATTTTTAGTCGTTGAGCACCGAATCCAAAATGTTGAGTTTCATATTCTTCATCGGTGCCACCAGTCCAAGATGCAGTATTAATCATTTTTCTGTTTAAAATGACGATTCAGATATTTTAATCTCATACACAGACTATTTGCAAATAGATACACAAATTAACTACAGATACTGAGTTTATAGATTTCAAAATATTTAAATTATAATATAAAAACAGAGTCAAAAACAGAAACAGTTCAGAAGTTTGTTTCCGCGATAAAAGTAAAACAACATCAACGGCCACTCAATATCAATACCGAATACGAATAAAAACCGTCAATGTTTTTTTTTAATATAATGGGTTTCTGGCTTGGATACATGTTCTTTAGTCATTTAACGTTATTGCATTATTGTTTTATCAGTTTGGGTTGCCTGTTGCTAATAAAAGATTTATCTAATAATATGTTTCTAGAATTATGTTAGATGGTTATTTTTAAATGAACAGTAAATCTAAGTAATAAGAAGGCTATGGGGACGAATTAATGATCCCATTTTTAATAACGTCAAGTCAATATCCACACGGTTACCTCTAGAGATCGTCGTTAACATTATTATCGTTAATAATATATTATTTCAGTCACTAAATACGAAATGTAATGTAAATAAAGACTATATTCATATTAATAAGAAATCAATTGATTGACACTACATCTCTTTTAAATTTCAGTTTTTCAAATAATGTAACCATCTGTGACTGCGCGGCGCGGCGGAGCGCCGCCGCGCCGTAGTAGTTTTCAAAACAGTGTTTCCATTGCTGCCTTTATATTAAACAACACAAAGATACATTTTTGGTTTCCGTCCGTACATATACCCCGTCAGTTTTACAATATTAATCTACAAACCAAATACTTTATTCTATCAAACTTCTAAATATTTGAAATAATTGTATATACAAATAATATTTGAATGAAAGACTGATAAATAAAATCTTGAATGTGCATGTTTCACTGCATTTGCACTATTCAGTTCAATGAATAAATCGAGTAATTCTAGCTCATAGTAACCATAAGTCGTACCTTATTATCACGTATGCAATTTCTTTTCCTATATAATTAATTGCAAAGATATAGCTTATTATAATTGAGGGTGGCGCCACTATATTACAACGTAAACTAAAGTGACATTAATTTGAACATATTTTGCTGTATGACATATTTCCCCGTTCTAATTGCACATTGTAGAGTAATTATTTTTATTTAAATATTAGTAAATTCACTTACTAGTTTGAAGTCTGATCGAATAAACTTTAAAATCTTAAAATTGACTTCCTTCTTCCAGTTACATAGTGACATAGAAAAAAATATTTTGTACGGTAATTTATTTTGAATTTCTTGTTCTTGTTCTTATTCTTTCTGCCTAAATGCCTGTCTTTAATAGCCTACCACGTGTTTATTTATTTTCATTTAAGTGTCACTTATTTTTAATAGTAATTATTTTGATACCTAGCTACATATTGTTGGGCATTTTACCTTAGTTGTCTAATTTTCTTTATTTAGTAATAATATGAAATAAATCAGTATCTGTATACTTATTTATTTTTATATTATTATTATTATTACAAATTGCAGATATTAAGAATAATACATTAAGAATTCTAAATACAAGTTAATGACGGAATGAATTTTTGTTCGTCACTTCGAATTATTTTTTCTGTTTATTACAGGAGAGCGGATTGTTAGTAATGGCACAGATAACATAATATTACATAGTAATGGTATGTAATATTGTGTTATCTGTGGCAAGGGGTAACAGTGACCCTATTGCTAATAATATATTGTGTCTGGTCGACCTCCATGTGGTGACCCCTGGTAACCTTCCTAGTCATTTTCTGATAAATTGGGCATGATGACTAATTGGACCTCATGTTTATCTTATCATCCTCCACGGATGCCATGCCGGTGTATACCGTTAGCGCAGGCAAGTACTCTATTGGATTATCATTCGTTAAAAAAAAGACAGGCATACAACGTAGCCTAGCCTATATAAAATATAGTGCCTAGGTTATGTTACCAGTAAGAAGTAAAAAACTATTAGTAGCTATATACGATATGTATGAAGAAATGTCTCATCTATCTCATCTCAACTCCGAACACGGCCGGCGTGATCGTTTCGCGACGCTACAAACCCGCAATCCACTTTACAAGTCACTCAGTCACTCACAGTAACAACGCGGATTTCGTTGAGCGTTGACGTTTGTTGTTTTTGTCTCCGTCGACAATAACATAACCTCTTGCAAACTTTCACTCGTATATTGGCGTACACTTATACGGATTTGGAACTTGGTGTATTTGTGTAAGGTTTGAGTTATTTTTGGATTTTATTTTGTTGTCGCACATTGTACGCACGTTAGTATATTAGTGTTTATATTGATAAAGTTAAGTTAGTATTTTGTTTTAATTTGTGGTGATCGTGAGTGTTTCGCACGTTCCTGACCGTGAACTTGTTGCTTGAACTGTGTTTGTGGTTCTGTGGTAAGTTCTTGCATGCATTAGAACACTAGCACAATGAATGAATGGCAGTGATAAGACTAATACAATTGTTAGGAAGAGATGCGAATATTAGAATCCAATACTTTAATATGAGAGCTAAATTAGGATAGTTCTAATTATCTCCAAGGTTAGAAAGTATTGTATTTTTCTAACATACTAATTTTATTGCTAAAAAAACTAAAGTACTAAACATTACACCGTCAAATATTTGTCATGTCGAGTAAATTTTCTATAAACTTTATGAATAAAATATTAACCTTCCGAGTATACAGATTTCTTAAACTATTCTAATGATGTTGGCCGTAGCTGACCTTTACAGCTTCGCCAAATGAAACTACAGATATCACTACCATTTTCCCTGCCACGAAATAATAAATCAATTGTAAATTTTACGTGTGATTTCCAGTTTGATAGTCTTTTTGACGTCCACGTCAAACAGTGTTCGAATTGTAAGTTAGAAAAAGAGCCTAGAGATATTTTTGATTACATTATTTTTTGTAGATTTTTATAATGTAACTAGAATGGAAAACAAGCTGATGCCCCACCTGATGGTAAGCGGTCCCTTATATACCTACATGAAGACCAATACCAACATTACGTTATAATGTGCCATCCATGATACTCATACGTTGCCATACCGGAGGCGATGGTGAATGTTTAATAGTGAAGCTGAAAGAACGTAAGGACGTTAAGTATGTATTTAGGAATCTTTTGAAGTGTTTTATGTTAATAATTAAAGGTCTACTTGATGGTAAGGTAACCGTCGCCTATAATGCACACCAACAGTGGTATGGACGGCACGTTATCATGTGATAGTAGTGATGCCATTCGTGCGTTGCCATTCCGGAGCATAAGATCTCATATCTTTTATCCTGTGATTTCATTGCTTTCTTTCACCTTTCAATGGAAACACAGCTAACAAAGCAATCAGCCAGGTGGATATTATACGTGATAAATTCAGTTAAAAATTTTACAATTCTGGTTCTGATTGCAATTAACAAATATTAGTCATAAAATTGCAAATTTAAATCAATTTGAAATAAGAATGCTAAATAATTAATTTTAAAAAATAAGGCAGTTAAGCAATAAGCAATGGCTTTACATAATAAAGCCGCAGCTTATTTAGGCAATTATGGAGAATTAACGAAAACTAGGGGACAGAGGGACCTCGTGGAGGTCGTTGAAATTGGGTGCTTTACGGGGAAAGGAGTCGATAAAATTCTCTTCCTAGTAATGGGATCCCTGATATATAGGTCAGTTTAAGTAATAGGTTCTATTATTTTCGTAAGAGCTACGATAGAAGATGGAAGATCGATATCCATGTGGTTAAATCCTGGTGGTTTCTGAATGGTCTAGGTAACCTTCACTCATCATCTTCCACTGGAGTTAGCTTATACTGGCAGTACAGACAAAAACACTACCGTCATCTAAAAAACAACTTATTATGCAGTATTAAGCTTTTAATATCATAACAGCATTATAATGTTCTGAAGGTCATCGTTATCTAGTTTACTGACTAATGTAAACAAACACAGACTGTGAGTTTAAGCAAATCGTTCAATCGATGCCAAGAATCATTGATCGAATCGATTAATTCTAACGTTTTTGCATAACAATCTCCTAATAATAATATAATTAATACCTAACCTATCTGTTGGCGATTATTTTTTAAGGCTGTATTTATATTTAATTACTATAATAATAATCCTTACAAAAGGAATACTTATATCTCACCTATTTCTATTGGAGTTTGCTTTAGACGTGGAAATCAACGTCTAAAGCAAACTCCGATAGATAGTTCAAAAGTTCTCAGCTCCGCACTGAAAACAACTTTGTATATATGCGAATGAAGTTACCACGAAAATCAGTATCTTTATTATTGTAGTCGTATACTTATAATAAAATGCATAGTTAAATTCTGAACCTCGGTGGTCTAGCGGTTTAGCACCGATGTTCGCGGATTCGATTCCTCGCACGGTACAAACATTTCTATTCATGAGTATGCATGTTTCACTCGGTCTGGGTGTTTTCTATGTAAGATGTGTATGTCTTTTTATAAAAAATGTATGTATTTATATCAGTTGTCTATTACCTACCCATAACACAACCTCTGCTTACTTTGGGGGTGGTGTTTAGATTGTCCTGAGATTTTATTACTATTAATAATAATTGCAAAAGTTGCAAAATTGGAGAAAATAAAATCATGTTCTGAATATGTATTTGACAACTATAAAATAACACGCTGATGTAATCAAACAATGGTATCTGTATCAAGTTTATTAACTATCTCTATAATCAATTAGATACAAAGCCTGTTAACATTACTTATTAATTCAACAATTATAATACAAATAATCTTTTATAAATTAAATAATATTTGCTCTATCTAACCTGTGAATGATCGTTTAGATAACAATATTCCTTATCTTTATTGTAGTAGGTATTTCAAGTTATGTGGAAATCATTCTTATGAGTAATAAGCACAAACGTTGATTCATATTTGTTGCAATCACTATAAAATAAGTCAGTTGAGTTAAAATTACTAAAACAACTAGAATAAATTCAAATCACTTGAATTTCATTAGTCTGTGGTTTTGGATTTATATATTTAGTGCTACCGATAATAATAAAGTGAAACAGAGATTACTCTAGTCGTGGCATAAAAAAAATAATCAATATGGTAGATAGATCGCTCCCTTTTCAAGGTGCTGAGATGATAATAAAACTGTTCCCCATGAAGATATGATAATCATAT